GCCGCCTCCCCTCAGTCGCTCGCTTCCCTCCGGGGGTCAGCGGGCAGGGGCTGACCCCGGCGCCCAGCCAATCAGCGCCCGCGCTGCCCAGCCCTCCGCCTCGCGCCGCAGCCCACCGCCTCTCCCGATTGGGCGGCGCCGGCGTTCCAAACGCCCCGCCTCCTCCTCCTCCTCCCCTCCTTCTTTTTCCTCCTCCCCTTCTCTCGCTCTCTTTTCCCAAGGGGCTTACAGTCCCCATCGCAGACCTTTTCCCCTCCTCTCAGACACTTCCGGTGTCGAAGCGACCACTTTGGAGTTTGTTTGCTTGAGGGTGGGAGCTGTCAGGAGGAGGAGGAGGAGGAGGGAAAGGCCATAGAGGTGGGAGAGAGAGAGAGAGCCAGAGCGGCGCATTTCTTTCCCCCCATGCCACCTCCCAATCCCGGTGTGGATAATAATAACCAATGGCGTCGCTCTTCATGTTTATCTCTCGTGGTCCCTGCCGGGACTTCGGAGTCTGCGCGCTCCTCTTCCCTTTTAGCATCTCTATGTTTCACCCTTCGCCCCTCCTGATGCCGAAAAGCAGGAGCCGCCTTTGATGTGCGTGATGGGAAATGAGGAGGATCCTGCATTGCCACACATGATTTCTACCCTGACAGGGAGAAAGTGGAATAAATTGATAAGCAGAGGAAAGTGGGTGAAATAACCTACTTGCACCTACTTGTGGGGAGGGGGGGACCTGAGCCCCCTTCCAAGCCCCAAGGCTTCTTTACTGAGGGGGGTGGTGGACCATCTCACTGTCGTAAAAAAAAAAAGAGCCCCCCCAAGGACTCTTTTTTTTTGCGACGGACGGTCTGGACGGTGGCGAGAGGCGGGAGCGGTCCTTCCTATGGGGAGACTTGAGTGGCGGGGCCGAGAAGCTGGGGCTGGTTGCCTAGCAACGGTGGGGCTGGTCGGGCCTGGGCCCAAAGCTGGCCGGTGAGACTGAGGACCACCGTGTGGTGGAAGGTGTTTCTTCCACCTAGGTAAGATAAAACTCAAATTTTGTGTTTTTCCCTCCCCCCCCCCGGTGCTAGGTTTGTGCTTGCAGGATTATTTATTTATATTTATATTTATATTCAATTTAATACACTCATTCATTTGCTTGCAGGATTTTTTATTTTTATTTTAATTCAATTTAATACACTCATTCCTTTGCTTGCAGGATTATTTAAGTATACATTTTAATTTTAATAAATTTTAATTCTTCATCATAGGTATCCTTCGGTCTCGAGAGACTTATGGTAAATTTAATCTATTTATTTATTGGTCCGTTGGTTCGGCTTCTGACCAAAGGCTACTTTGGGGGCGATTGAAAATGACACGAATAACCATGGTAAAAAAAAATAAAATAAAACCAGCAACATTGTTAGAAATGAAAGCAAAAACCGATTTTCCAGTACGTTAAAGATTTTATATATAAAAAAACACCACCCAATTGTTTCTTAACAATGTGAGACGGAAGGCGAGAAGTGATGCCCCACTCGAGCCGTTCCCTCCTTCACCAGGAGGATAAGGAGGAGAGACACACACACCCCCAGCCAGCCCCTGTGGCGGAAGTTCCTCAGGGAACAGAAATAGAGGAACTGAGTGAACAGATATAGAAAATAACGATGGAGGAGGTTCAGGAGGAAAAGGCGGGAAAGGAGACGGAAAAGAGGTTGGAGTTGGAGGCAGGAACAGGGGAAGTAAAAAAAAGGAGGGAGAGTCAGTTGCCGCCCGGTTGGGAATGGGTGTGGGTGGAGGATCCCTGGACGGGATTATGGGAGAAACTGAGAATGCCTAAGGAGGAGGCAGATTTGTTTTGTTGTTTAATCCTGTCCGACTCTTCGTGACCCTATGGAGAGCACTCCCAGCCCTCCTGTCTTCCATTGCCTCCCGGAGTTGGGTCAAATTCATGTTGGTCACTTTGATGATCCTGTGCAACCATCTCATCCTCCGTCATCCCCTTCTCCTTTTGCCGTCACAATTTCCCAACGTCAGGGTCTTCTCCAGGGAGTCTTCTCATGAGATGGCCAAAGTATTGGGGCCTCAGCTTCAGGATCTGTCCTTCCAGTGAGCACGCGGGGTTGATTTCCTTCAGAACAGATAGGTTTGTCCTCCTTGCAATCCAGGGAACTCTCAAGAGCCTCCTCCAGCACCACAATTCAAAAGCATCAGTTCTTCGGTGGTCAGCCTTCTTTATGGTCCAGCTCTCACTTCCATACAGGAGGAGAAACCATAGGAAAAACCATAGCTTTGATCATAACCATGCTAGCAAGGTTATGCTCAAAATCCTGCAAGGCAGGCTTCAGCAGTACAGTGGTGCCTCACTTGACAATAATCCGTTCCAGGAAAATTGTCATTAAGCGAAAACATCGTAAAGCAAAAATAAAAACCCCACTGAAACGCATTGAAACCCATTCAATGCATTCCAATGGGGTAAAAACTCACCGTCCAGCAAAGATCCTCCATACGGCAGCCATTTTCGCTGCCTGTATAGCGAGGAATCCGTCCCTAGAAAACAGCGGGGGGCCATTTTGAAGCTGCCGATCAGCTGTTTAAAAAACATCGTTTTGCTAAGAATCAGTTCCTGAGGCAGGGAACTGATCATCGCAAAGTGAAATTTCCCCATTTAGACCATTGTTTTGCAATCGCAATTGCGATCTACTGATTTCTTTGAACTGAATGCAGAGCCGAAAGTCAAACCCTCACAGTTATTAGAATAGCGACAGTGACTATCAAAGGATTTGTGGTGGTGTTTTTATTTATTTTTTTATTTTCTGTCTGAATGGTGGAGAGCCTTCAAAAATAGAAGTGGAATCGGTAGGATTTTTTCTTCTCTTTGCAAGCCTGTGCAGTGGTTTTTCATATAACCATTCTTCTTGAAAAGTTCTTGTTTAGAAAGGGCTTTTAGTTCAAGTACATCACTTAGAATCTTAGAATAATCTTAGAACTGCAGAGCTGGAAGGATCATCAAGTCCAGCCCCTCATAAGAGTTTCCTTGTTATTACTGTTTTATTGCACATGTTGTTACTTCCATATTTGATATGTTTTCTAATCAATTATTTTTCTTTTTCTAGATACGCCATGACAAAATCTGGCCAAATTTATGAACTTGTGAGCTTTATTGGGAAGAATCAATCATTGGGGAGCGGTATTGAAGTTCCAATAATGTGAATGCATGAAGTGTTACTGAAGATACTTGATTTCGCCACAATGGAGACTCTTCTTCCCTTCCTCAGGCAGATATATGATGATGTGTTGGTGGGTGCAGCTTTAGCAAAAGATAGTCACGAGTGTGCAGCTCTTCTAACTCCTCATTTTCCATCAAAAGATTTATCAACAAAACCCAGTGAACTATTTCCTAAACCTGATGCTGACATCTTTAGTATAAATGATAAACGAGAGGCTTCTGAAGATAAGAGCCACTCAGAATACTGTGCAAAGGAAATTATTTTGCTTCAGTTAACTTTGATCAGGATGATACTTAACAAGGTGCAATCCCGAGAGCTGGCAGCTGGAATAAAACAGAAATATCTTGACATTATTAGAATTCTTCTGAAGGAAGCCAACATTGATACAAAACTAGTAAGTTTATATTATTCGAATTTTCTTTCCAGAGTTTTAAAGAAATCCTTCATCTACAGTTTCCCCCTTTTTACACTTTTTGCAGATTTATCTGTTATGCAGCTCGGATAAACAGCTCTCTCACATGGCCTCCAAAAGCTTGGTCTCCCTCATATATTTTCAACTAACAGAAGAGGTGAGTTACAGAAAATCCTTCTTCAGGAGATCTTTCAGGCTTCCTGCTTACTTAGTTCAACAGATAATCAGTCTTTTTCTGTTCAAAAAAGGTGTTAATTTGAGTGTGTTGCTTTGTTGGGTTTGTTTTAATATGTAAATTTTAAAAATGTGTTTTGTTTAACAGCTGGTAGTTAATTTAAATATCATACATAAGAATCAAGGCGTGTTGATGCCAGTTTCATAAAAAAATGTTTAAAATTTCAATATCTTTTACCCTATCTTGAAAACAATGCTCAAGCGATTATGGTTCCACAAGAAAAAAAAATGTAGTTTCCATATAATTCTTAATGGTTTCTGGCATGTTGATGGCCTGAAACAGGAAAGATAGCTACTGTATTCTTTTCATTTCACAAACATTTTCCTGCTTGATTATCTGGGGCTGACTTTTGTTGCAAGAAATTGCTACACAACAAGACTTTTGTAGGCCCTCTGGCCTGAAACAGGAAAGATAGCTACTGTATTCTTTTCATTTCACAAACATTTTCCTGCTTGATTATCTGGGGCTGACTTTTGTTGCAAGAAATTGCTACACAAGGAGACTTTTATAGGCCCTCTTATGAAGTTCCTGGGTGATACTGTTTCAGATGGCTTGTGTACAGGAGAGATAGGAAAAGATAGCTCCCTACATATTGAAAAGCAGTTGTTCAGAAGACAGTTTCTACATGCTTTGATAGTTTCTCTCACATGTGTAAGGAGCTGGGTGGTAGAAGAATTGTGGAAAGGCTGTGACAGCATTGATTCTCTGGCAGCCATGCACAGTGCTGTCTATACATTCCTGGGTTCTGATACAGATTCTTTTCTACATGGAATGGCATTTTGCATGTGCAGGACCTTCTCCAGAGGCTGAGCCTCCCATAAAAGCTTGTTGCCTTGTGCACTGGGCCCCATTTACAGTATATTCCTTTCAACAGCCAGCCCATGCAATACCGGAATAATCAGGCAGAGGGCTGCATAACATAAGAGAAACTACATACAGTATCAGTTATCGGTGCTTTCCAACTCTGCAGATTTAATGGGAAAATCAAGGCATATGTTGAAGATATGTTCATGTTTGCAGCATCCTAGGGTCTCCTTTCCAAGTGTGAGACCTCCAGGTGGTACCTCCGTAGCAACCATCAAAATTCACCCCACAACGTATTTTCAGTTTCAGCTCTGCTCTTCCAGGATGCAAGTCCCTGATTTGGGAGACAGATGCCATGCAAAATACATAAGAATCTTTTATTTCCTCAAAGATGAGAATCCACCTGGCAGCCAGTCTTTTCCCCACATGGTTTAAAAACAGCACTGCACAGCAGATGTGGGTGTAATAGCTGCTTTTCTACCTGTAGTACTCCCTGGGGCTCTAGCAAAATCATACACCACCCTGCTCCCCGAAAAACCATTACAGTGGACCCTCGACTTACGGACGGCTCGACTTACAGACTTCTCTGGCTGCAAAATTTAGATTCGACTTGCAGCCAGAGAATCGACTTACAGACCAGAAAAAAACCAAAATGGAATAAAAATAGAATAAAAACCACTGGTTATGGGATTAATCGGTTTTCAGTGCATTGTAGGTCAATGGAGATTCGAATTACAGACTTTTCGACTTGCAGCCACCATTCCAATACGGATTAATTCCTTAAGTAGAGGGTCCACTGTACCAGTTTTGGAAAAATGAGTACTTTGATGTGTTGATTCTTTTTAATTTTATTTATTTTATTATATTTATACCCCACCCATCTAGACAGATAGTCTACTCTGGGCGGCATTACAAAATTTAAAAACAATAGAACCAATGAACATGCAAAAATCCAAGATGTAAAAATGTAAATATTAAAATACAGTAAAGCAGGAGGGAAAGCCTGCCTAAATAGCTGTGTCTTAAGTTTACTTCTAAACTTAAAGTGTGAAGGAAGCGCCATGAGATATTTAAAAAATAAATATCAAATTTCCACTCTTGGGAGGCCTCCGAAGCAGAAATTCCCTCCCACCTGAAGGAAGAAGGGGCTGGGGTGGAGCCCGGGGACCTTGACTGCCCCTGCTGTATAGTGTATCTTGTAGTTTGTAGCTGATCTTCTGGGCTTGCTGAAGCCTTGTCCTCATTCTTGTGGGGCAGTTGAGCTACGTCACTCCAGACTACAGGTGAGAACCAAGGATTAAACGCCCTTCCATATGAGTAAATGAAACTCTGGTTTTAGAGAAAATGCGTGTCCGTGGGATGGGTTGGGAAAGAGATGCTCCAGACTTTCCCTCTCTGGTGCCTAAGGGCAGGCTTCAGGTATGCCTCATCCCTTACTCCCAGAAGTCTAGTTCCCCTGTACAGGGAATATTGTGTGTGGGGGAGAGGACCTCCAACCACATAGACTGTGAAATGGTGTAATAGAGGAAAGAGTTCACCACATCAGGAAGAAAGAATCCTAGGTTATCAGCTGTTCTTTAAAAGTAAAACAATACACTTGAGGGATGGAGTTCTAGGAGGAAGTTTTAGGAAATAGATGTGCCTACTTTCCCAGACAGCTCTTTTGAGAAGACAAGGAACGGCAAGAGGCCAACCTTCTCAGTGGCAGCCAGTCCCATAACAGCTACAGCTACATTGCATCCTTTCTCCTTTGCCTTTACTTAGTTACTTGCTACTGGTAACTGAATACTAACCAATATGTTCACATTTTCTCTTGCAGGGTTCACTGAATAGTGCCTGGCTTGCCTTTGCTTCAGAAACTTTGTTGGGTTTTCCCAGTAGCCGTTGGCTAGCGGAATGCTTGTGGGCTTTTACAGACACAGTTAGAGAAGCTTTAAAAGAGGAAGGCTTGTGCAAAAAAGGTACTGTTTGATTTGGGAATAGTTTGCAAATGGTGAGTAAGGGGAAGAAGAAGGCATATACGATCTGAAGAGAAATGATGATTTATGCGCAAAAGCAGGCAATACCTTTTAGAACACTTAAAAATCAACACACAATCTGTGAGCTTTTGTGGATCGGGACCACTTCATCAGGCATGTGCCAGTGGGAAGAACTTAAAAGTCCAAAACATCTTGGCAAGATGGGTTTCACCAGGCGTGTCTTTCTTAAATGTACAGTGGTGCCTCGCATAGCGAGGTTAATTGGTTCCAAAAAAAACATCGCTATGGGAAAACATCGTTAAGTGAAACGTGTTTTCCCATAGAGATGCATTGAAAACCGGATAATCCGTTCCAATAGGAACGGATTATCCGGTTTTCTCCCCCACTATTGGGCGCAGCCCTTTGGGAGAAGCCTCGGGGGAGGGGGAGAAGACGGCATCGGCTCCTGCCTTCTCCCCCACCACCTGGCTTCTCCCAAAGGGCTGCCCTGACTGTGCTTGCAGCAGCGGAAGAGGTGCCCGGTGCTGCAAGCACAGTCGGCCATGCCTCCCACCCTTCTCAAGCCGCAGGAGGTGGGTGGTGGGTGGGAGGCATAGCCGGACTCCTTGGCAGGCACCGCAGCTCGGATCCGA